ATCAACAGGATGAACAGTGCATCGCCACGCAAGGGAGGCAACACCCCCCCACTCCACCCGACGGACACCATTCACGTCAGGAACAACAGAGAGTAAGGGGCCGGTTAAGGAGCGGCCAGCCTCAGACGCCCGAAAAGTGACAGAACGCACATTGTCGGCAGACAGACGGGCCTCCTGAACCAGAAAGAGATGTGCGCGCCTGGGGGGGGTGGCTCAGGGGCCAGGATGACCTCACAAGGGCGCCCAGCAGACAAGAGGGTGAAGTCCATGAGAGCAGGGGCCTGGGCAAAGGCCAAGACCCAAACCAAGATGCCGTTGCGCCGGAAAGAGCGCAGGGGGATGCATGGAGCACCAACAACTTTATGGACAGCCTCAACGATAGCACCCGGCGTGGCCCCAAACGGCAAACCTTCAGCCAGAAAAGTGACACGGGGGATCAGGGAGCGGTTGGCCTCAACGAAGCGGGGATCCTCCTGCAGCAAGGCTCTGCGAGCATCAGCGATGTGAGAGTGCAGAACCCGCACCGTGATACCACGCTTCAGTGGGGCGAGGCCAGCAAACCCTTCCAGGGCCCGGGAGACAGCCAAGGCCGCGCGAAGGCCCTCCGGGTTGAGAGGCCAGAAGCGATGAACCACGGAATGGTCCTGGGGGTCCGCTCTCTGGGCCAAGAAGTCCCGCACGAAAAAGGGTCCAGTGCCTGATAGACAGCCTATGGGTCAGAGGGAGTTTGACCGTAAACTGCACCACTCGACCCAAGTTGTGAACAGTGCCTTGAAGCACGCGGAGGGCATAGACAGATTGCAACGACTGATGGGGGGCCAGGAGGGCCCGAAGGTACACAGCAGGCTTGGCCAAGATGCCCGCAAAATCAGTAGCAAGGGCCTCAAAGCTCTCAACCACAAGCTCAACGAAGTCAACCGTGTCAATGACCGTAGCAGCCTCAACAGAGGGGCGGTAGGTAATGCCCGGGGAAAGGTGGACAAGCACAGCAACAGGATCCAGGACGCTGATTTGAAGGGGGCCCTCAACGCCAACAGAAGACGGAAGTGCAGGCAAGGCAGCCCGCAAGGTCCCCGGCACGATGAGGGCCGTGGGCCTCCAAGGTAGGAGGAAAGACAAGGGGGCGGACAGCTCCAAGCCACAGAGCCCACTGTGCAAAAAAAAAAGCTGGGCGGCCATCAACAAGGGTGAGCTGAGCAAAAAGCCCCCTGTCAGCCAGGGTAGCAGCAGCCAGGACATGCTGCTGAGAGTACCGAGCACAGAGCGTGCGCAGTGGCTGATCAGCAGGGGCCAGCCGCCTCTGGAGGACCTCTTGCGCAGAGTGCAAGTGAGGATCGGCACCAGGCAGGAAGGCAGGGTTGGTATAGTGCCGGAGAACCTGGTCATCAAGCAATCGCAAACTCAGGAGCCTCCTGCACCTGAAAATCCTGGTGCGTCCACGGCGCAGGCACAGGGTCACCAAAGGAGGCAGTGGGGGCAGGCTCAGAAACCTCAACATCACACCGCAGCAAAGTGGCAAGCCAACGGCGTCTGGCGCATGCCCCAAAGGTGGCACGGTCATGTACCAGTGAGTGATGGACCCGGTAGCCTGCCCACTGGATAGTGGCAAGTATGATGGGGAAGTGCGGATGATCCGGCAACCCATCAACACACTCCATGAGAAGAGCCAGAGGGGCAGCAGCCCGAGCCCACGCCAAGGGGATCCCCTAGACCATCCTGTTCACCAGCTCGAGACCAAGGAGGGCAGGGCGGCGAGGCAGTGGCAACATGAGTGCCCACCCATGGGACACAATGCAACAACCCCCGGTCAGCCACATCCGCAAGGATCACTGCCTGGGAAGAGGTAGGGTCCCAACTGGTCAGGTTGACCGGGAGCACACAAGGAACATCCAGCGCAACAAACAGCGAGGCAACAACCTGTGGCGAGAAGTCCACCATGAGCTCCTGCTGGATGTCCAGGCCCACCAACTGCCTGATGGCCTCAGCCGCCTGGCCCCACCCATGAAAGGACCCCGCAAAAAGGTGGGTGACAGCCAGCGGAGCATCAAAGTCCGGGTCGGGGACAATCCAGACCTGCAAATCAAGGTCCACCAGGGCCACACGAGGTGGTGCCAGCCACCAAGGACGCTCCTTTCACCCTGAAGTGACAACCAGGCCGGTTGAGGAGGGTGGTGAATTGCATCGGGGCTCTCAGAAGCATCTCAAACATGAGCCGGCGCACCCGGGGAGTGGCATGCAGGTCAGGCGGAAGGCCAGGGGAAAAGGCAGAGCACACCCACTCCGTTGGGGAGATCCCAGCATCAACCCTGAAGTGGAGGTCAGCGTAGCATGACCACGTCAGGCCTCAGGATCGGGATCCTGAAAGAAAACCACCTCAGACATCAGGGCATCGAGTGTGGCCAGAGTGGTGGAAGAAAGGGCAGACAAAGCCCGCAGCACCGCCGGGTCCCGGGACAACATGGCCACAGCCAGCAACAGGCAAAGCCCCAGCACGCAAGAGACCACCGCCACACAGCAGAGCAGACCAGGGGGGCCGCGCACAAAAGAAGGCGGGGCGCCCCGGAGGAGACCGTGACTTGGTGGACGCCTGACGCGCCGGGGAGTGTCGCCAGGCCCTGGGAGCCCGATCCCTGAGCCCTAATGGTTTTGGACCAGAACGGCTAAAAAAAAAAAGGCATCCTTTTATGGTTGGTGGGGTTTGAAGGGGAACCCTTCCCCCCAAAAAAGAGGAACAAAGGGCCTCACTGGGCAGGGCATAAGCGCAAGCCTTGGCAGCTCCCAGCTCTGAGGTCTCCAGCTCTCGAAGGTTTCCGCTGGAGGTCGCGGTGAAAAGGTGCCGAGGCTTCCAGACCTGAGCCCGTGACTTGGGCGTCCTGTTTGGTTTGGGTCCCGCAAAAGGAGACGGCGGAAGGAGGTTCTGCCGGTTATGCCCATCCACCGTTTTTGTTGTTTCCCAACATGTTCCGACCAAGCAACCAGTGGAATCAGCAACACTCCAAAGTGTAAGGTCGAGGATCCTATGTCAGCCAGTGGTTTGGTCCACACAGTGTCCACTCCAACCTCTGCTGATTGGTTGCAAGTTGCTTCAGCAGATTGCCAACTAGTGATTTGGTTAGCCGTCTCAATGCCCGCTGGTCGAAAAGGGACATCAGCAGCAATCTTAAACCTCGTATGCAAGCCGCAAACTCAGGACTTCCCAAACATTTGGGGCCACCACAAACCTGACAGAGCTCATGTTGGGCAACCACATGGCACGAACATGAGGAATTTGGCTGTAAGAGAGGAGGCACACCCGTGATATGGCCTTATGGCTGTAATTGGAACGTTCCAACCCAAACTTCCAAGAACGCTTTGATGGAACACCCTTGCGGCGGAAAGTGGTCAGCTTCTACCCAAGGGGGCATCACTGCTGGGTCTCAGGTTCTACTCAAACATCTGCCACCAAGGACCCCGGCGTTGCCACTGGGGTGCGCAAAGTTCAGCGCGCGCGCCGCTGTCTCTTTCAATGCCTGCCGGGCCCCTTAAAGTTCCAAGCAGAAACCTGCATCGGGAGCTTTGCAGTTCAATCTGTGCAAAGGTCAACACCTCGGGTGGATTAGAGGCAACAAAACGGCATGTTGAAATTCGAGTGTCTGAGATTGATAGCCCAAATCGTCGCAGCCCCATTTCCGCCTCAGGGGAGCGTGTTACCCTCATAAATGCCCAGGCCCCGTTGCAAATACATGATCGACAACCACGATGGAAGCTATACGGCACAATAATCGAAGTGCTTCTTCTACTCGTAGTGGGACCTATGGCAGTACGCCTTTGCTCCTGGCTTGGACTCATACATTCCCTGCTGGGGTAAGGAGGGGTGGCCTCCATCCGAGGAAAACATATCCACTGCTCCCAAGTCTCAGAACTTTTGAGTTTTTGAGGGCCAGCTTTGGAGTATAAGCGGGCGTACCAGAACACTGGATTATCACAATGCTCCTGAAGCTAGGTGGGTATTCCCAGCACTAGGTTTGGCTCCAAAGCCTCAGGCCCAATTTGGAAGCAAGTCAGGAAATCTGACGGCCGAACTGCCTGGCGAAGAACACCTTGCATAGGCGACGAACAGAACCTGGGGGTTCAATCTTGGAAAGCAATTCAAGATTTGAAAACTCAAAAGCAAATGCACTTTGACGGACGCTAACGCCCACAAACGGTGTTAAGGATGTGGAGGCGCCGGTTGCCTCATGGAACGGTTCCCAGCACCCCGTCACCAAACTAAATCCCCTCTGCACGTTGCCCAAACTCAACTTGCCTTTCCCTTAGCAAGCACCGCCAACAATCCTCGTTCAGCTCGGTCTATCCATGTGCGTGTGTCTCCAAACCTGGGAACTCCTAGGCGTTCCTTGCGCCCAAACCGGGCTGTCGATCGCCTTGAGGCCACCGTTCTTTGCGGAGGCGGCAGTCGCCAACAGCCGCGGCTCCGGGCCGCGGGGGCCCAACACCCCGAAATGCATGGCGCGTGGCGCGTGGGGGTGAGGTCTGGGGGGATGGTGCAAAAACTGCTCCCAGAATGAGCTCGCACACTGCAACTTAAAGGTAGAGGCGCTGCTCGGACACATTGCATTACGCTAAAGTACATTATATTGCATTGTGTTGCATCACAGTACATTGGAAGGCCGCGTTGGCTATGCACATCCATGGCCTGGCAAAAGTGCTAAAGGCCCAGCCCACAATCTTCGCAGCTGCGTGCCGGAAAGCTGCAAAATCCAAAACGGCCTCCTGTACCTATCCAGTGTGGTCGTTGCAGCCCACTTAGAACTCGGCAAGTACAATAAGGGGGAGAGAGTTAGAATATGTTTGCATGGGTCGGGACTTTGATGACAAACTAAACCATGCTCCCAAGTGTGGAAATATAGCCCCTTCTATTTAGCTCAGCCATTCATTCACTGCCACCTGCATATGTCATGTTTGCCCACAATGCCAAACAACACGCTGCAAGCCACGCCCCCGGTGACGGCGCAGCTTTTTCCATTAGTGAAGGACTCCAGGCCGCTCCTGGTCGCTCAAGCCCACCAGCTTTTCACTCCTCAGGGTGCAAAGGCGCTGGCGACTCACGCAGTTTCACAGTCTGTGGGTGGTTTTCCTGTGTATTAAGTTAGCATCAGGTTTGACATTGGCGGGAAGCAATGGACTCACTGCCCTGTCAGTATGGCGGCGCTTTGGTAGCATCTATGAAAGGCTTTGGTGATTGAATGCTCTGCCAAACAAATATTCCTGCACCAGTCGTTGATGGGTTCTTCTTCACTGCCTATGGTGTTGCAAGGAAGTCCCTATACAAAAGAGCCAAGCCATCCAGGCTCCCAAGGAAGGCTTGATTTAAGCTGTAGCTTTCGGAGGCCGGGGTTTATAGTGCTCCCTTGTCTCAAGCATATTCGATTTCAACTTTCTCGACAAACGACGTTTACAACACGTGTACATGAACACATACGCCGGGCGGTGCTTCCCCAGCTTCACAAGCAATGCCATCGCGAAAGAGTTGGCAGCATTTCTGCACAAAGCAAAGCCTGCTATGAGAAATACAACTGTGCTGTGCAACAGCCCGGCTACAGGCAAGCTTCCACTAGTAGCCTGAACTGGGACAGCCGCCAAGCTTCTGAAAGACCAACAACAAGCATGATGCCGGCGTCCAGCCAACCGCACATGGACCAGAATAGACTTAAGCTATTAAAGGTTCAACTGTCCATGAATTGGGGCCTGCCAGCAACCGAGCAAACAGGTCCGTAACAAGCGTTAAAACAAACAAATAGAAGCGCATGATACAAGCAAAGTACTTTGGATGGACGAAGAATCCGGCACCATTTGGAACCAAATGGCTTATCTCAGTATTGATTGCGGCTTCATTCACTCGTGTGGGATTTTGTCCAACGGTCAATTCCGTGGGCCCGCATCCCCTGCCAGTCTGCCAAAGAGGCTGGTCCCAAAGCCGGCGCCAGGTCGTGGGATCGTAAGAGGTTGGCTCAGGCTCAGGGGGTTGCAGCGCCTCGGGGTAATTGCTGAAGGCTTTTTGACCGGTTTCCAAAAGGAAACCAAACACCTTAGTGTTGAAAGACCCCAACTTGGTCAGGAAATACAACGTTGTTTGGTAACAAAAGTATGTTCTTTTTTACGACGCTTTCCGGTCGTTGCTTGCTTTAATGTGCAAACATCACGCTCTTGCTCTCCTTGTGCCTCACTCACCAGTTGCCTTTGTTTTTTCTGGGCGCCAAGTGGGAAAACATGGGAAACCTGACTTTGCATTCTCTACATATCTCTACATATCATTCGCCTTGTATCCATAAAGAGTATAATTGAATCTATGGAGACAGTCCTGCAATTATTCGGGAAGGTTCGCGATTCAAAACTTGGGGGATGGGGATGTTGCATGCAGAAAAGGACAGACCGATTGCAAGGCTTGAGGATGGCATCCGAAGGAATCGGGTTGACCACTGGATGCCCAGTCCGAGATCCCCTTGCAAAGGGCAGAGAGCAATTGCAATCCCCAGAGCACAGAGCAAAGCTGACGCCTCTGCTGCAAATTGGCGAGTCTCAACTCCGCATGAGGTGGCAAGCCATGCCCTGCTTCAGTCGCAGAATTCTACATGCACACACACATGTACACAGGTACACATGTATAGATGTACACATGTACACACCGATGGGTCCTGTGAGCCAAACAGCCGCACCAGGCCTCAAGAGCCATTTGTAATTTGCTCTTTGAGCAATTACCCTGCAAACACAACACGGCCCGCACGGCCGGCACGGCCCGCTGACCCCTCGCCGCGGTGCCCGCCGCCCGCCGCCCGCCCGCCGGCACCTTCACCAGGCGCGATACGATGCGCAGCGCCCGCTGGGGAGGCGGCAAAAGGCCCTGCACCTGATGCTCTTGATGCTCTTGTCGATTTTCCATTTGGAGTCGGGTGCCAACTTTGGAAATGCGCGCCACCTGTCTGAATCACCAGAAGTATGCAGAAAAGGAGCCCTATGAGAAACTGTTGAGAGGACGGACCGAAAACTGGCAGCGTTTGCCAGAACTGCCACGGACGTTCGTAGGCCCCCCGACACGTGTGAATCAGGAATGTTGAACTGCAGTCTACGCAGGCGGAACAAAAACATGCGTCCAAGCGACTTTTTCCCCTCCAGCCCAGAAACAAACTAGCAACGTCGAACTGGCACGTCTAAACAAATGGAAAAGCGCCCCCATTCATGTTTGGGCAGAACCACATCAATACCGTAGCGGGGATAAGATAGGTTTGGCCCCAGGAGGCTTTCAGCAAGCACCAGGGAAATACCTCATACTCGCAGTCATTTCCAATGGTAGGCACAAAGCCGTCCCACGCAAATGATGGGGAAGTCTGTGCCGCGGATTATTGGCTGATTTTTGATCTGCTGCACCCTCCTGCGCGGCCTGCGAACTAGAATTCTACTCGGAGAACCCCTGGGCCTCCACATCCAGCGAAGCCGAGGGCCGGCTCTCCTGCGCTGTAACACCAGGGGCACAACAGCCAACAAAGCTCCCTGATCTGTAGAACAAACAACGTGGTACCCTGGCGTATCCGTAACATTCTGGCAGTGCCACGCCTTCTGACTCCACCTGTGCACAAACTTGCCGAGTAGGATTGGTGCAGCCACTGTCACAAAGTTGATTTCTGTCCTGTCAAAAATGGACACTTCAGATGGCGCTATGATTGAAATCACAACTGAAACCAGTACCAGCCATGTTCAACCGGACTCAAACCACATGGACACCTATGCTTTGAGGGGCCTTTGTGGGGAAAGCTGGGTAGAGAACATTGGGCCTCGCATCATGCCATGTGCCAAGGAAAAAAACCGGACTTGTCCTATCATCACTTTAATGGTCGCCAAAGGGTTTTCGCACCTTTATGGAGTAAGGCCCAGATAAGATTAATCAATGTGCATATCTAATTATATACATGGCCATGGGGCAATTATGGAGTTATATTCATAGGGGATGTGATGTCCACCAACCGTTTCGGAGGGCGTTCTATCTCTGACAACTAGAAACACAACATTCTATCCCTGACAACTAGAGACGCAATGACACACGGGCAAATCTGGTTTCAACCACTTGTTCCATGTCATTCACCGGCACAGCCAACATGTGAAGCTCAACCACCCAGTCCTGCCAGTAGTGGCCTGAGAGCTTGCCCTCCTCCTGGGTGGCCAGCAACACCGAGGTCTTTGCGCCGTCCTGGGGTTCGGCACAACCCCAGAGAATCAGAGCATTGCGGTTGGGGAATTTCTGCAAAGGGGCTTGCCCTTGGACTTTGGACTGGTTGTTGTGCCCTTTGCTTGTGGGAAGGAAAGCCCAACAAGTCCTGGGGGCTCTGCACGATGAGGTCTAGCAAGGGCTGCACCAAGCCCTTGGCTGTCTCATACGCGCCTTGCGTCCGTCATCGAGGTGACAAGTGCGGAAAGCAAAGGGAAATCTTGGGGTCCATTTGGAGCTACAGCAATCCCATCGCTCCCAAGCACTTGAACTCCAATGGATCCCCTTTGACAGGTCCCTACTCCCCCAGGCCCCTAGCCCTCTGTCAACAAAGAAAGCTGATCCTCCTTTTGGATGTGGGCAGCAACGAGCTCAGGAAGGGGGGGAGCAGCAAGCATGCGACGACGCAGCGTTGCTTGTTTTGTTATGTTTGTAGCAACTCGGCCAATGCAAGTTCGGCAGCGACACGCCCGTGCCACGCCAGCAAATACACGCTGTTCAGCTGGACAAAGAGACGTCAAAAAGCCAGAGTGTGGTATCAATACGACGCAACAACTGCCAAGCTTTCGCAAAATCGACCTCAATGGCTGCAACACTCCATTCAAAACCAAGTGGTTGGCTCCGTTGAATTGGTGTTAATATTAAGGTTGCCCTGCCTTCAAGAGCCGAGTCCGTGTTCTTCTCCGCGTTGAGGTGTCGCTTCAACTCGGTCGCGACGGCGCCTGATGCCCGGAGCCCAACGAACAAGGTGTCACGGTAGAGTTTGGTTTGGACAGTAGCTGCGTGTCCTGTTCTGTGTATGTACAATCAACATCAGCCCTGTTTGCAAGGAAGGGCAACAATATCTTGATAGTCACATGTTCCACCGTGGAACCCCAAAGCCAGCTAGCGCATGTGAATCTCATAGTTGCCGATTTGAGGAAGGCGGACTGAAAGCCGCACGGTCGGCCAACGCTGCGGACCACGCCAGGAACACAAGCCAAGCCAAACAGGAAACACAAAAGATTGGCTGGACAACGGAGTACGGTGTCACACAGCCTGAGTTTCGCAAAGGCCTGGCTCAAAAATCGGGTGGTTGACTTCGGCTGTTGCAAACTGGGACAACCAAGTTTGAGCCAAGCCTGGGTCTCTCCCGGCCTGGCGGCGTTTCTTACCACTCACGCGCCTCCTTGTTGAATGCAAGTGACTTCGGCGCCGTGCAATTTGGGGACGGATGTCCGGGCGTGGGGTAGCAGTATACGTAGACATGTATGTATATGGGTATCTGTAAATGTGTATAGATAGATAGATACATAACAATACATGCGTATATACCATCTCTCTCTCTCTGTCTCTCTCTCTCTCTCTGCAACACCGTCCCAGTCAAGGAGCCTCAGCTGGGCGCGCCAAAACCCCGAGTTGCCGGCAACGCTTTCCCAGGCATGCAAAGCCCTCTTCAAGCACGAAGCTATCCGTGCACTGCATCCTAGAACATGTTGGCAATTGGCTGAGCAAACGCTCAATTGGCGCCCACCCAAAGTATGAAGCAGTGGTTGAATGTGAAGGCGAAGGTGGCAGAAGCCGTGTAAAATCTGTGGACTTGAGCGCTCCTCCAGGCGTTCCGAATGTTGAGCGCTTGGCATCTGGAGGAAGTGCAAAGAAGAGAACCATGTTCTGGACAATTCAGGTACCAGCTTCTTGCAATCCCAAATTCTGGGAAGTCAAGAGCCAACCATCCAATAAGCAGAGGGCCAGCTTAGAGATTTTGGCCTGGATGTTTCGGGCTCCAACGCGGAAGTCCGGCGCGAACCTTGTAGTGCAGCCGCATGTGTGTCCGAAATTGGTCAGGTTCGCCGGGTTTGCGCGGGTCCGCCGAGTTTGTGCAGTTCGCTGGGTTTGCGCGGTTCCCCGGGTCTACGCGAGTTCACCGGGCTTGCGCGGGTCGGCCAGGCCTGAGCAGGCTTGCCGGGATTGCGTGGGTTCGTGGGGTTTGTCGGGTTCGACGGAGTTCGTCGGGCACGCGCGGCTTCGCCGGGCTTGTGCGGTTTCGCCGGGTTGGCGAGCCATGGCCAGGTTTGCACGGGTTCGCCGTTTGCACGTGCTTGCTTGGCGCGCGCGGGTTCGCCGAGTGTGCCGCAGTTGGGCCCGGCTTGCGCGCTGGTTTGCATAAGTTCGTGCGCTTCCCGCGCGGTCTCCGGGCTTGTGCGGATCAGCCGGCGGAGCAGAGCTGAGCGTTCCTTGAAAAAGTATATTTTAGCTTCACTTGCGCCATAAGCACTCTGACTTGCGGCAGCGAATAATTTGGCAAACCTTTCGGTCTCACACTGCGACCAGGCGCAGGCCTGGGTCATCGCAAACAAAAAACCCAGCATCTTCAAAGCGCTTGAGTGGCAAGCTCCTGGAAGTAGGGGCTACAAGGGCACGAAAGCAACTCGTTTCACCGCGCTTTCACTTTGCTCACGGCTCGTGTAACCACATGCGCAGTTGCGCCTCTGGACTGCTGCAATGACAGCAAGCGATAGGTTTGCCCATTCGCTGCAGGCAGCCATGTCGGACAAAGGGAACTGCTCTCAATTCCAGATGCTGCATGTCTTGTCAATCGCCCTCGTCAAGCTCACTAACTGCAACAAGCCAGGATATGGGCCTCAAACTGCCTGTGCTGTCTTAGGCGCTTCAACAACCGGCCCCATAGGGGGCGCCAAACAAAAACATATATATATATATATATAACATAAATACATACACAAAATATTTTGTTGAAAAAGAAAAAAAAACGATCATTAATTAATCAATTAAGTAGTCAATTAAGTAATTAAAAAGTTGAAAACATACGTAAATACGTGTCTGTGTGTGTGCTCACGTGTGTGCCTGCATGTAAACCACGATATGTTGAGCATGTCTTCGGTTCTCTCTGGGTTCAACGGGCAGTGCACCTGGGTGCACCGCGTTGGACGCAATGGGCACGCCCCGCACTCTGCAGCGCCGGTCCAGCTCGTAGGCGAAAAGGAGGTTCGCGAGCTTGGACTGGCCATAGGCCTGGCAAGGGCCGAAGGAGGGCTGAGCGTAAGCCAGCCATCGGGAAGGGCAAACATGATCCATCCCCTGTGCATTCCATACTGGAAGTTGAACCGTGCGGGCTCGGATGGCGACGGTTCTTAAAAATGCCATTTGTTTCCCCGGCACTGGCAACATGCTGCATTTTGCTCCAGCATCACGCTAACATCATCGTTTTTGACACCCAACAGCAAGTTGGCTCATGCTTTGCTTAATATGGGCTTACGCTGAGGGTGGGCTTGGGTCGTCTTCAAATGGGTTTAGGATGTTGGGTCGAGTTGGCGTGGGTCAATGTGTTGGTTTTCGTTGCGGGTTTGGGTGTTCCAGGGTTTGTTTAGGGCAGGTCTAGGGCTAGTTGACGGTGGTTACTACAAGCTCGAAGTGATGCAAGCGCTGTTCTAATTTGCGGGGCTGGTATTTGTGTTGGCGGCGGTGTTGCTGAAGCTGGTGGTTGTCTGCACTCCCACATTCATTTTCCTGGCCACGTTTCTGGATGAAACAAATGGTTTTGGGTGGGCTTAGGGTAGGCTTAGGGAAAGTTTAGGGTCGGGTCAGGATTAATTAGGGTGGCTTGGGGTTGGTTTGGGTGAGTCCAAAGAGGCTTTAGGGTGGGTTAAGCTTGGATTTACGGTGGGTTAGAATCGATTCAGTTGAAGCCAGACATCCGCAAGAAGCCGCACAAGTCGCCAAGCGCCAAGAACAACCGCAAAACAACACCAAAGCCAACAAGCAACCAGAGCTGACATGAAAAGGAGAAATCACCCCGAGATAAACAATGAAATCTCCATAAACATGGCCCTCGACAACTTGGGCGTGGTGAACCTGGGCCCAAAACGGAGCATCAATCGAACACGTCGCCTGAATGCTTATCCAAGACGGCAGGCAAAAGAAACATCCCAACTCCTCGCCATACTGTTAAGTGCAGCCCATTGATTGTCAATATCGTTTTTCACGGGCCCGCATCCAGCCCTTGATCCGGGTTGAATCGGATCTATATTGATGTACTAGGGGGCTCTCCAAACCAGATCCAGTTGGGTCTTGTATCCATACTGTGACACTTGCCACAAATACTCGCAAAACTACAAACGCGAATCTGTCGCGTGGCCCTGTGGCGCTGCCGCAGAGTCGGACAAATACCAAATGCAGTTGCTGCACGTTGAGAGGCTGCGCTCCTGCCAGGGGGTGTAGTCCTTGGACTGCAGGTTCCCCAGGTTCCCGCGCTGCAGCGAGGAAGGGATCAAATGCGCTGAGGAGGAGAGGCTTATGACCCGGCCCGGGTCTCCTCAGCGATGTGACGGAGGACGAGTTCGATGTTTGGATTGTTTCTGAGTATCAACAAGCGGCGCAGCCCAACAAGGATGCGCAAGAATAGCAGCCGCTGGCTGCCAGGCCAAGCCATGCCACGGCCCTACTAAGAATAGCCAAGTTGCCATGAGATGCTGAGGATGCCATGTGATCCAAGAGCAAATTCGCCAACAGGAAGTGTCCCAAGTAGTTCACCCCCAGCTGGTACTCATGTCCATCGCTCGTCTCTTGCCTGATCGCCGCCCGAGTCGACACTCTGAAGCCGGAATGTCCATATCCGTGACGTCTCAAAGGAGCAAGGTGCTGAACAAAACATCCAGCACAATCTGGCTGAAAAATGAACCCGGCCTTTGCGGCAGTGCCATGACGCCGGCATTCAGAACCAGGCAGTCCAATGGAACCTGGGCTGGTGGCATGCAAGGCAATCGGCATTTAGACCGTCAAGCAAACCAAAACTGGGTATAATAGATAATGAAGGAGGAGTCTACCCGAACCCATGGTAGACAATCTAAAATTAAAGGGCTGATCTGCATCACTATGGTTGGGACGGAGGTAATCCCGCCTGTAACTACGAATCTGTTTTCATTGCGCCCATCGGAATCGCCAAACGCCAAACAAAAACCCAGCAAAATTGTCTATGTGGGAAAAAGGGCGCCTTTTTGCTTGTAGACGAGATCGAAAGGGAACCCTCGCAACAAGGTCGGGCCTTCATGGCGAGGATCTCCTGGGCGCAGCGGCGCACCGAGGTCAAGGAGTCCAAGTCACAGGGCACGTGGCCTCAGCGCCACGGCGCGGCTTGGCCGGGGACTTGTTCCAAAAAAGCTCTCTCTCGCTTTCTCTGCCGTTGCGTCCAAAAAGGGTCTTGACCCAGCAAGGCAACGAAAAAGGTGCCCACTTGACATTGAAAAGGTCGGGGTTGCCGGTTTGTGACTTGTGGGAAATTGAAACATTTCTTCTGAACACAAAAAAGTTCAGCCCGCTTAGTGGGAAAAGAAATCAGCGTCGTGCTGGTGAAAAATTGGCCCTTTGTGCGAAGTCAAAGGGCGACTAATCCGTCCTTGTCCCTACTTTGTCATTTGAAAGGTGAAAGGCCCCTAGTATCACAGAAGGTGGGTCCAAACCCAATTTCCACAACCCCGAATCCCCGTTGCCTGTTCATGTGTAAGCCCAACTTGGACAGCATGCGAAGTAAGTCGGGGTGGTTAAAAAGCAAGGTCGAAGTGAACTCATGGAAAAATGGAACAGTTGGAGGCTTGCGCGTTTTCCTCTTAACCCTCTGCAATGGATTTACTCGCTAGAAAACTGCACGCGCGACAGAAGCAAACCAAGGCCGTTTAGGGAGAAGTCAAGCCACACGGCCTATATGGTGGTGTGGTGTGGCCTCTGCGATAAAGCTAAGGCAACCAAAGGGATCAGCATCCAATTCTGCGTGAAAGCATGCTGGCCCCATAGCAATGTTTCTTAGCTTTGTAATTAGGTCCAATCAATCTTCGTGCGAAACCCTGCTGCTATGCAAAGACGATGCAAGGCCTCGACATGCCTCAACTATCATAGGTACCCAAATTGCACAGCCCTCGGGTGTGAACTGCCGCTGCCAAGAATCGGAACTCTGTCCCCTCCGCATCCTTCCTCGCAGGCACGTATGACGGCTCAAGCTACGAAGGCTCTACATTCAAATGCCCGAACGCTTAGATAGGCCAAGCTAGTCCAAAGGATGTGGTCTACCTTGGCGCAGGTCCCACATGCTCTACTGTGTGCACATTGTTGATGTTACATGATGTTACTCTGCGTCTTCGGCAAAAGGTGAACGCCGCCATGCATTGAAACAGGCAACCTTGTTGAATCGTGTGTGCCATCTCAAAACTCCATGGCTGTTCCTGCAGAAGAGCGGCGGTCATTAAAAGACCCCTGGTCAGGATCCAGCTCACAGGAAACTTCAGCCCAAACCGCTCCTGAGAGTGGCCAGCGCGCTCTGGTGCTTCAGCTCATCCCTGCCAGCCAGAATGACGAGGCCTCCGCGCACATCGAAAGCCAAGCCGAGTGGGGCTCCTGCTTTACAAGGGAACCCCTACATCAGCTGGTAGAGGTTTCTTGACTAGCCCACATGTATCCATGAAGGGACCCTGTTGAAAGTAAGCCCCTGAAACTCTTGCAGCAAAAGTCAGTGCTCAAAACCGGCGCCAGGAAGGCCCACACAAAAGAAGCCATTGCATGGGTGGTTTAAGAAAAGAGGTACTAGTAGCCTGACGCATGCGGCAGGCTGCTGCACAAACATATTGTCCAATTTGACAAACAGGCTCGAGTGACCAGCACCCCCCCCCCCAAGAGTAGCCCCCGCGCCCAACATGCATCACGCACATGTGTGGCACCAAACCTTACACCCCCCGAGCGAATGGAGCAGGTCACGTAATTACGTCGGAGCCCCCCAGACCTGCACATCACCAATTCCAACCCCCTCCCCAAAAATTGAGGGAAATGCATAACTTCGAGTGCCAAACATAACGCACCGAGGCGCCGTAGCTTTGAGCGAGGCCCTGCGCAGTAGCAAGGCCCAGGCCAGTAGAGGCACCCGTTATCAAGGCTACACGAGGCGGCCCGGCCTTACGATGAAAGGAAGATGCCAATGGCGAACAACTCAGCGCTTACATAGCTAAAACCCGAACCGCAGTTTTCTTGCTGTCATGGCTGCATCATAAAGGACCCCACTTCACACGCCCTCAGAGAATGTTTAGCCTGCCCTTGGAGAGAACAGTCATGATTACCCTTCCTTTGTTAGGCCTCGTGTGGCCTCAATTTGTAATTCGTGGGGCAGATGTTGCAAAGCGAGAATTTGAACATGCACAAATAGCTGAACGCAATTCCCATTTACTCCACCAAGTAATCCTATCAGTGGAGAACAACGGTTTGTGCCTAGTCGTCGCACATGTACGCTGCACAATGAATACACCCAGACACGCCCGATTCAAACCCCGACACCCCTCTGGGGTGTTCCGGGTCTTCCATTGGACGCCTTAGGAGCGTCTGGGCAGAATGAATCTTACGAACACGTTGTGGTGGGTTCGCTGTGTTTCTGTGCTTGGAGCGACTGCTAAACATCTTCGGAAATGTAACTTCGGCTAAAAAAGCTTAGGAAAATGAGTTGCGCTTGCAAAGTCTGAATAGGGCAATGCCTGGCCCCTTCCCCATAGAATAGCTGCTTGTTGGGGGCCACCAGCATTGAGGTTCATGAAGGGCCCCAATCTGGGTAGATATCTGACACACCAGCGACTAAACCATAGCAACCCGGAGAAAAGCTGTTGTAATTGTATAGGCACTCAAAATGCTGTTCAAATATAGACGAATATGAAGGTTACGACATGGAGATTGAGTTGCACATCTTGGATTGGAGACGATCAAGGGTCAACGTTACCAAATTCGGCTTGGAGCAGAACAAGAGCGAGAGAGAGAGCGCGAGCGAGAAAAAGGGAGTCCGAGGGAGACAGAAACAGAGAGAGAGAGAGAGGGAGAAGGCGTGATAGCATCCGCTAGGGGAATACTTCTTTTTCATGAACAATGAAGCTTCAAACTACACGACATTATTTATAGATCGAGCAACCCACGTATTGAGTTAAGTATTGTCTCAAACTGCATGTCTGCGTTTGTTGCACTTCCCAGCATCGAAGCTCCTAACATGCCCAAGGTTGTACAACAACTGAACATTGGGATCATTGGGATACGCATGCCAAGTCATATCAAAGGCCTGCTCGCTAGTCGTGCATGTGGCAGTGCCAAGGAAGCAACATGCCTAAGTCGAGGCCAAGTGACCGTTCGTGCTTGAGCTTGCCGTGCAACATTGCTCCAGGCATAGTCCTGGACACCGAGCAGGCTAATTCTAAACGACATCAGGTTGTATTGTAAAGAAGCTTGTTCCCCACTTGGCGGTTTAGGACCCACACGGAATCAACCAATACCAGTCCAACAGCCTACGTCGGCAAGCTCAACGCCGGCCGAACACCCACCCTAAACCAGCCCAAAGCAGCTCTCAACTATCTCCAAGACTTCTCCAAGTTAGGGCTACCCGAAGCCCATCTCGACCAATCAGCCCACCAATCGGCCCACCAACCCAACAACCCGCCAACCCACCAGCCAACCCCCAGCATTCTAGAAGACAAAAACCATACCTGGGAAAAACCGCATCATCCACCGGACCGCAAAAACACAGCGAACTCCCCGCCTGCAGCTGCCAAAGCAGCAGCACCAGCGCCGCCAAACGCCAAGCCGCAGCCATGGGACAAGACTACATGAGACGCACCGATGTCGACAGGGACACAGGAAACATGGTTTGAACACCTCCTTCCTCGACAAGGTATCCTTCACAGTACGATCTTGACCAATAAAAAGGGACCAGGTCGACCAGGTCGACCAGTCGTGCGGTCGGCAATGCCCTCTTGCCGGCGGCATGGAGAAAATGGGGGAATCTCTGACGGTTCCATATTTCCTTACGGAGCCTTCACATTTTCACATTGCCAGTTTGGATGGGCTTCAAAGGACCAATGGAAGTCAACCATAGGCAGCCGGGCACCATGATGTTAGGAAATATCCAAATTGCTTCCCAATGGTCAGGTGCCTCATGGCGCGGCCCTGCCCGGCCAGTGCTTTGCCATGTGCCAGGCGCATAGCTCGAGCCTCCAGATTTGTTGGCTATGTGTTGCAAGGTATTAGTTCAAAGTTGCTGCCAATGAAAAGCCAAAAGGATGCCAATCAATCTTTGCTAAGCAATCGTATTTGGAGACGAACCTTTGGGATCCCCACAAAAACACATTCTTGCTTCCAGCCGCGTTGCGTCAACCCAGGCATGTGTCCTCCCCTCTCGCGGCATGCTTTTCGCTGTGCCAAGATACCACAAGCGTCTTGTGCCAGGCATGGATGCCAAGCAGCACAAGCGGGGAAATTGTACGCAACGTCTTCAAACACTTCCCATCTCTGGATTTCGGTACTGGGCACTTGCCATGCACTGAATCACTGCCTTCCCAACTAGGCCTTTGGAGGGCAAACGCTTGCGTCTCTGAGTGCGCGTAGCAGAAGTGCCATCTGCACATAGCAGAAGGCTGCCAAAAGATTTAGCAGTGAATGCCCAGCAGGATCTCCATTCAGATTCACTTATTCCAGCTGGCGTCCTACCCCAACCATAAAGGAGCTCTGCATAGAGCTGCCAAGCCCTTGTGACTGGCAATTTGTCATCACGGCGCGCCCTTGAAAACCTTGAGCACAGGGAATGACCTCCTTCTGTGATACCCAAACATGGGCTTGGCTTGTGACTCAGTGATTTGCTGTGCGCTTAAAATTAAGGGGTTCCCTTGGCATCACTGAGCATGTCCAAACACTTAAGTTCCTTACAACCATGCCGATGGGATTGAACGATGCCGTTGCAAAGCTCGGAGACGCACTGCCTGCTTTACAGGATTAGGACAAATTGCCCTAAACAATGCAGCCGGCAGTAGGTGGGCAATAGTATTGACCGCGACGTTGATCCTCAAAAACGGGGGTGACGGCCTCACAAGCCAAATGGGCATTCCCTGAAACATATCCCAAACTCAGGCCAAGTCCAAATATGCCCAATTTCAGAAAATGCGAGGAGATGCATGCTATGAAACAAGCATCCCATCCATGTGACCCATGCGGCCCATCCATGGATAATCTATCATGTGGCGCGCCGCAATTTTGCGATAACGGATTGGCTTCTGAAATCTGCTTTGGACAAAGATATTAGGCGCAACGGCTTCTGGCTGCAATGGATTGGCAAGCCCTAGGCGCACTGGCATGTGGATCATTAAACTTGCTCTCAATCATGGAGCTGTTTCGCGACGTGTTCACTGTCTGAAATCCGTTGAGGAATCCCCAAAACAGCAGCAAGGGTGTTAAATTTTGGGCAATACTGACCTCTCTACCTCAATCCTGACGACGGCATCCTACGCGACAACAACGTGCTTACGCCAGCGCCCGCACGAATCTTACGCCGCTTGGTCCTTTCTCCCATTCCGAATGCGAGCTGGAGCCGACGTGCAACTAACTTGCTTACGCCAACAAGCGCCGTGTTCATCCGCACGCCATCTTTTCAAACTGCAGAGCCCCTTCGTTTGATCACGTGGTTTCTTCCTGCGGCCTGTTTGGCCGACAGCCTGGACTTAATCTCCGAGGTGATCGCTTCAAACACTGGTTCTGCAAAACGTACTGCCAACATGTAGAATTTCCTGCCGACAGAAACGAGCAGCCTTGCACTTTAATATTTGGGGCTGTCTGACGCATGCGCCGCATGCTTTGGCAAACTTTGAGGGCAAGAACATGAACGAAAGGCTGCACACCCCGTAACACGCTTGCCTCCCCTACCTCCCACAAAATATCCGCAGGGAACTGCTGCCCGCCACGCTTGCAGGGATTGCTGCATGTTGTTATCTTACGCAGGGCGATGTCGTGTTTGCAAGCCAGTTCCTTGAAATGAGAAGAAGGTTCTCAAACAACGATTTGGTTGACGCCGAAAGCTTGCTGGCTCCTCAGCATCAGTTTCCTGACCCTGTATGCCTTATGCAACGCACATACAATATAAATTGTTGTATACGGATATGTGATACATGAGTGAAAGTCGTTTATCATTCATTTATCTCATCGAATCTGTTTTTGCATTTGTGTATGTGTGGGTGTGCGTGGGTGTCCACAGCTTGGCCCTAGGCTGAGGACACAGTGGTTCTGACGGGGACAACAGAAGCGTTGTTGTTGCTTGAAGCTTTGAAAGGACCTTTTTTGTGCCAATCCACTCAGCGAGGCCAGCCGTTTTTACAGCCAGGCACGGGGGCCAGTGCCCCCATGCCTGCAGCTGTCTGTGCCAAGTGATGCGCCGGCATCGTGCACTAGGCCGAATGCCACGAAACATCTCAGGGATCCCAGTCGCACTGAGAGCTGCCGAAGGCCAGCCCTCTGTTGGAAACATAGCCGGAGGGTCACGAGGAGTTCACAAGTCTGCGCCATGTGGCCCGAGTGAAATACCCTTCGCAACTACACATTTCAATTCGTTGGATAGGCACAAGTTTCGTGGGGAGAGGTTACAACTGTCGAAGACAGTGATCCGACCACAGGCTTGTCAGAATAGCAAACCCGACAATGGGCGGCTGTCCTTCCCTTGCAAACAACCTGAAAAAGGGGTACCCTCCAACGCTAAGTGCACACCCGTCTCCTTCTTTGACCCCCTCTCGGTGCTCGAAGGCCTCGGGCCTGTCCTTTTCTCAGTGAATGGTTCTGACACAGAATTGAAACCGGTGGACCCCAGCTATGTTCAGAAGGAACCCGAAGTTACTAGTGGAACCCATCTAGATTCACATCAAACAGGAAGGACACCTGCCTACCCAACTGGAAAGGGTGACATCCATGCTCAACCAGCCCGGAATGGACATCTGCCCATGGCCCTTATGGGGCCTTGGCCTTGTTGAAGAGCCGGACCCGGCGCCAGGCCAGCACGCTCTTCAAGCCGCATGGCAACATGGATGCGAAACTCAGCAGCCCGGCCACCGTACCTTCGGTTCTCCGCCAAAGCCGAAAGACCTCTGGAAATCTCTAGAAGGGAAATCTAAAGGAAACCAACCAGATCTTTGAATAGAGATCCTTTGGCACATCTTTTGACCGAGGAAAATAGGAACAAAGGAAAACTGGTTTTGAGAGTCCATCACATAGATTTGCTTTTGGCGCTAGCCACTAATCTAAATGTGTACACAACGTCCTCTTGGGTAGTGGTTTGGGGGAAGTGAACACCTTCGAAGTTTGCAATGTACACCGAAGTGGGAGGCTTTTGAAAAACCAAGGCCGCGGAAGTTGGGTTGCAAGGCTTCCGTGCCCTGGGCAAACCAACCGTGTCCTGAGTATTCGCTCTGAGGCCCCGCGCCGATGACTGGAAACACCAGCAGGCTCAAAGATGGGTTCCGCCACCTGCCAGGAACGTATACCAAGAGGTGCATGACCTATGCTCCAAGTTGCAATGTTCCGGTGAGCCACGGCCAAAATCTTTGGTTTCCACAGTTAGACATGGGAAGTGAGTGCGTGCCCCTGCATGGTGGAATCTCTCGTGATCCCTCGTGCCCTTCCGTAAAATTACAAAACAGGCCGTGGGTTTTGTTGCACCCCCAGCCAGTTCTGCCTGACCCATCGTTCCTGTCGTGGCTTAAGGTTCCCGAAAAACTTGCTGGGAGTTATGATCAAGGGGAAGTCCACGTGGCAACAAACAAGCGGAAGCGAAGCACCGAAGCCACCAAATTTGGAGGGCTGGGAGCCTCCTAAAGGGTTACTCTTAGGGGTGGTTTGAGAAATCAAGGGACATCAATCTCACTTTGTCACCGCTGCCTTTCCCCGGCCTAGCTTTAAGCAAGTCCCACTCGAAATGGAATAGCACACGGCCAAACCAGCCCAGCCGAGGCGCAGCACCGTGCCGCAGGCGAGGCCGAAGCAGATCTCAACGGTGCAGGCGTCGTAGGCTTGGCGGAATTCCTCGCTCCGGAGACAAAAGAACTTGCTGCCCCTGGGATACGTGAGCCACCTACGTTTGCAGATTCGTGAAAACCCCTAGTATACACATCCAGTTCTACATTAGTACACTGTACCCCTGAGTTGAAAGGGGGAGGGGGGTGCGCAACTTTTTCCATTGACCCATGCCAATGCCAGTGCGTCCTTTGTACCTATAAGGGGAAAATACATGGGCAAGGGGTTGGGGGTAGGGGTAGGGATGCCGCACTGTGGAGATCACAAGAACCCACCTGCCGCACCTGCAGCAAATTGAAATTGAGCTGCTTCCGAATGTGCACTTCGAGGAAGCTCGCAACATCTGTTGTACTTGTGGCTGGTTTCAATGGAAGCTAGCTGAGTTCAAAGTTGCAAACCGCCTGCAGTAAACTTTCAAGTCATGCAATCTAGGTTGAACCCAGCGAGCAGCGTCTTAAGTGCAGTGAGCTCATCAATAGGAATCGGAACAAAAGCCATAGGCTGCAGTCTGCCCCCCTACTGCACTGATACTGGATGATGATGGTTGACGTCTAACATGGCAGAAAACTGGCGGGCAGCCAAGCTTTGCGATGTTGCTCCGCAAGGGAAACAGGCCGAGCCGCCTCCTCTCTCAGCTCCAGCTCCTCTTTGAGTATTCGCCTCACCTGGCATGCAGAGACGTCCCGGATGGTAGCTGGACGGGAGATGGCAGCCTCTTCCACTTGCTTTGTTCCTTTCCTTTTTGCTTCGAACATGGGATCCTATTTCGAAAAAGCCCCACGTGTCGCAATGCCTGGCACCAATGCCCTGGCCAAACATTGCAAGACAATATCGCAAGGGTTGCAATGGCTATCCAAATAACTAATTCGAATAATCATCAGGATAACATGGCACGAATGGGAGTCCCTGCTATTTCACACTTTGGCATGAACCTTAGCAGCCCCATGACCCTTGTACAACAAAAAGTACCTTCAGCCCACCCAATGCAGAGAAAAGGGCATTGCAATGGAAAATGATTGCTTTCTGAACAAGGCTGCTGAGGCAAACTCTGTATTCTCTTTGCGCAGCACAAGCAGCAATTCTTGCTGATGCCCGTGTGTGTTGATACTTGGCCCACTCAACTGAGCAGTTACCGGTCAACGCCGCTGTCCAAAAGCAATCAACAAGCTGTTTTCAGAGCAATTGCTGAAACCTTCTGGCAGCTGATGCATTCGACGAAAGCGTCATCAGTGACTGAGGGCCTTGCCCGCTCAAGATGTGGCTCCACGTGGCTTTGCACTGCGCCGTGTTCGCGCTTGCATAGCGACCTGCGTTTGGCCACCTTTCGAACAATGGGCCAACCTGCAGGTTGAGGAACTAATCCTGTCAGCTAATGGACATGGGACCGTGGAGTTTTTTTTCGGAAAAAACACGCGCCCCCCTGAATTACAAGTTCCACAAATGCAGCAAGACCTGTCTCGTTTGTTTGTGCTCCAAAGTGACCAGCTCATCGCGTGGAGGGCCAATTGTATCCAGCTGAGCTGGTGCCTTTGCGCTTCGCCTAAATTGAAAGGTGATTAGCGCCTTGGAAAGGTTGCCACACGTGTCATCACCCAATATGGTCGCGATTTTTCAGGAGCCACGCCATCGTTCAACGAGATAGAATCTGAAAGGAAAACCCGCATGCGCTTGCCTGACGCTGCAGCACAAAGCAAGCAAGCAGAATGTTGACCCCGATTGCCGACAGGGAGCAGCTGCATGTTGACGGGAAGTGTGCCCCTCTAATGAAGAGGAATTATGAATCACGGTTCTGCGCCCGCTGGTGGCCAAAAGGTCAATATGTCATGTTGGCCGGAGGGATCGTTCACGGTTCATCAGAGTTCCGAGTGTCTCACGTTACAAAGCACCTCCCCAAGACAAAAGGGAACTCAGTCAACCTCCGTCACGAAAGGTTTCGCTTACGCCACCCAAAGACAAACACAAACGAATAGACTTCCAAACTCCTCAGCGCCACCCCCGTTTGCACCTCCGCCTGGCGACGGGCAGGAACTCGAAGATCGCAGGAGCCTCCTCGAGGTCCAGGCCTGATCTGGGAGAAATCCAAGGCACCACTCCTTAGAGATTAGAACTTTTGTAGACCCGCACATGTCATCTTCCAAGTCATCCAGCCATGGCGGCCTGAAATCCCAGGAGTAGCACAACGTCACCTTGTGAGCTGCATATGTCACACATTGTTCGGTAGCATGACCCCATGAGGCTCACAAGCATCCATCACAGAACGCAATGCGAGCTTCAATGAGTTGTTCCACCTTGCGACATCTTCGCATCTGGCAGTGAAACAGGGTAAACTGCATAAATGTAAATCGCTGCGTGAGGCTGGGTTGGACATGCTTCGCTAAGAGAGATTCGCTACAGGAAGGCCTGAGGACTATGGAAACTGACAGGAAAGCTCCCTTGCGCTCTGAGCCCCAAGGGCCCAGCATCTTGCCCTGCTCGTTCCGCCCTCTTCCATCTTCACCTCTAGCACACTTCCGCGTGAAAGCAGAAGCCGTGGCGCTCTTCTGGGCAGAGACGCCTACACTTTACAAAGGCTTACCCAAGATTCTCTCTCGCGGCAGCATTAGTATGTCCAAATCAAGTTGACAAGTAGTACAGGGGCCTAAACAATTGGAATGGATTGTGGGGTACCTGAAAACTACATTTAGTATCATTTAGTCAGGGTTACAGTGGTAAACTAGTAGTACTTCTTTAGCCCTAATTTTATTTTGACAAAAAGCAGCACGAAATACAAATCACCCCAGCCATGCGCAGCGGTTGCGCCTGCAGCGCCATTGCCGGCCGATTGCGGGTCCCACCCACGCTGAGCCCAAACCTTCGAGAAGCGAAGCGCTTCGTTTGCGACCTTCGGCCAGCAAACAGGCAAAAGAGGGTCACCGTGAGGAAACAACAACCTGAGTGAAACACTGCGCTTGACTTCTCACAAGTTTTCCCACAAGCAAGGAGGCAAATGAAAGCCCGAAACTCGAAAAAAGTCCAATAAGACGCTGTATGTCAGTTGAAATCCTCATGCCATACTGATATGTCATACTAAAAGAGCGTGCGTTTCAGCAGCTTCTGCAAAGTGGCGAGGAAGTAAACAGTGCTTTCCTCAACTATCCAAGGCAGCTTTCTGCAACGAAACGGAGGGCCTTACAGGGAGCAATCTGCCAAGCGATGCGCCTACGTGCACTCAGACTGTTTTCTCGGTGCGCGCAGGGCCGGTGCTTCTCCGACAAAAACCTCACACACACACACACACAGCCGCCAACGAGAGCAATGCACGATGGAAAGGAGCGGAAACATGCACACGATGGCTCAAGCTGAGCCATATGATCAAGACAAGTGTTGCTTCCTTAGGGGCAGCTAGCTCTGATTCAGTCACATTCACGGTGATTCAGCTTGGATTGTGAATCTGGATAAATGCAACGGGTGCACATTATATCGCATTATGTTCAGTTGTGAAGAATTGGCTACTGAAGTGCTTGCATCGCTGGAAGGTCCTGAAGCGAAAGAACGCCAAGCTTGAAACAAGTGGGGATGTTTCTGGTATTCCTCAGCATAGGGGGCGGGGCGCTTCTTGAAAAGTGACTGCTGTCAAAGGAGAGAACGAAAGTAAACCTAGGTTCCGACAAAACAGCAGAAACCAAGATACAATGTCACACAAGAACACCACAGCGCTGATGCTACAACAAACATCCGCAGCTGCATTGCTCGCAAAAGGCGTGCTCACACTGTGCTCCACACCCCATGGTGTCAAAAAGTCCGTGGGGCTGGGAGGGCTTGGGATCCTCAAGGGGAAAGCGCCTGCATTCCCACAGCTGCACTTGTGGTCAGGACCCAAAGCTTTCCCCTCGCCCCTGATGAAATTCCTACTGAAAACTATTCAGCACTGGCCGCGTCCGAGAGGCCTAGTGCCACCTCAGTGGGGTGACGTCCCTTTCATGCGGATCTGCAAAAGATGCACTGACAAGGACCCTAGGGCATAGATTTATGATGTATACCCGCAAAGCAAAGACGAGCCGTCAACGCCTTCGTAGTTGCTTGGCAATGTGTCGCTTCAAAATAAACGAAAATCATCTGAAATTATGCACATGTATGACTTCTGACATTGCCAAGGACAGGGCTGCGGCCAACTGCCCAACTAAAGCTGAACCAAGCAGCGAGACAACCAAAGAGGAAGGCCACTTCAGCAACATCTTGCCCTGTGCCCTGGTGACAAAGAGGCAGCTGAGCCTCACGCAAAATCATAGTTCGACCTGTGGCAGCGGGCCACGGCTGAAATGACAAGAATCATCTGCGAAGTGGCAGACCGAGTCAGGACAGCAACTAGGATAGAGTTGGCCCCGCTAAACAGCATTGATAGAGTTGAAGTTGGTCCCAGCAACTCCTAGCCACAAGTCAAAGACACCGCTGCAACAGCAATACTCAAGCCGACATGCTGAAAAGTCTAGGCCCTCCAGCTGTCTTGTCCTCGTAAACTCCTGCAGCCAGCTCCTGCGCAAGGCACATGAGCTGGCTGATCCAGCAACCGGGCGACTTCGCCTGCCTTTTGATTGTTCACCAGTTGTGCCTCGCAACCCCGTGACGAGGCAGCCGTCTCACAGTATCAAGCCGTCCTGATTCTGTGAGCTGAGCGCTACCCTTGAGACAGCAATCATACCAAGAAGTTAGCACAAGCAAAGCCTGCATGACGCCGGTCATCCCGGGGCAAGCCTGCAAATGCTTTTTGTCTTTAAGCGCCGAAGCTTTGACTTTCCGCAGGGAAGGCGCCACAGTGCCCCAGTTACGCCTCCAGCTTTCCCCAGCTTGCTTGAAGCCGTGGCACAGCTTGTCTTTCTGGGATTGCTGGGACTCATTCGGTCTCCGGGCGCCAATTTATGAAGGGCATAAGGTGCTGCTTAGCAAACATGCAATGGACGCCAGTTGCGGTGGACAGGGAAAACCTATCCTGCTGGCTCGGCCATTCAAAGTAAAACCGACATAGATTTACATGTATCTAGATATGGATATGCACAAATATATATATATATATATATATATATATGTGGATATATATATATACCAGTATATATATATATATATACACTTTTGTTATTTTATATATATGCAAAAAATAGAAAAACACGGCAATAATCAAGGAACAAAGCCATCGCTGTCTTCAGTTTGGAAGGGCTCTAAACAGCACTCAGCTATCTGACTGGAACGAGAGAATCCAACCCTGGCACGTGCCTTCTCTGAGCCGGTGCCATTCTTCACCGTCACCGTGCCCTTGAAGACCACGCCCTTGGCGAAGGTTACGGGTCCTGCGGACATTCTGAAAGGACATGCAAATAGCGTCCCAGTTGTTCACCGGCACCCCCTTTGCTGTTTGGTGGGTCTGAGACAGGCACAGGGGTTTTCTACCAGGGTCACTGCTTGCAACCAATATCTTTATATGTATATATGTATATATGTATATATACACATACTAGTTGCAATGTAAGGCCAAACAATTACTACCTGTTTACTCCTATCACAGCCAATATGGTTTTGGAGTCCCCCACAACCCCATTCTATTTTTGGCACTGCCGCAAGACTTGGGAATCCCTTCTCAAAACAAAAAAACGGGCGGCCGGAACCGCACCCCTGGCGTGAGGACATGTTGAATAGTGGGTACTCGTTGAAGCCTTCATGGGTGCCTGCCCAAGGGCACCTGGTCCGCAAAGGGCATTGCGCATAAGATGATCCCCGATATGATTGGGTTGTAGGGAATCTGGCGCAATCTCCTGGCCCCGTCTCTTGATCCCTGTCCTTCAACCACCAGCTTCTTGCAGTTGATCAGGGATGGCGGCCCATTTGGGATGAGCTTCTCCATGGCATCCTTTGTAGCGGGCACGCGCGAATCCAAAGCGGGAATACCTTGGACCCCATGCCCGGTGGGCTTTACAAAAGCGAAGCAGGGGCCGGGAACTCAGACCTTTGCCAGGGAGCGGTGAACTTGTACATGCCGTCCAGCTTGACATCGGGAGGAACGCCCTCCCGCTCAGGAGCCAGGACGATTCTGAAGTCCTCGGCAAAAGAGGCCCTCACGCGATCAGAAGACCTCGCAGCATGTATGATGCAATGTAGATGTGCAACTCTATGTGTATATATATATATATATCTGTGTATATATATATATCGTCCGAACAGGTTGGGCGCAGCCTCACCCTGATTTGTTAATGGGACATTCAGCTGTGGCTCGACTCTCGCGAAGGCGATCCCTTCAAATGGCCATATCTCGGGAAGCAAAGGAACGAGCCATCCAAGAGCCTAAAGGTCCACACTAGCTTTTTCTGCAGGGAACCTTTGGGGTACTTGACAGCAAGGGAAGGCCCAAGGATAAGTGCCCATCGGATTTGTTGGTGAGACAAACCCAATGATTCCAATTGAGGCGAATGGAGGTTTCTTGGAAAGGGACCCAAGTTCGCGCGAGCCGGGGCTGGAATGCCCAACGCAAGGAACAAATTGGTCCTTCTTGAGGGTCTGCTTTTGGGGTTCAACGAAAAGCAAATGGACCCCCATTTGGGTTCGCCAGGATTCTCATGCCTGCAAATCTTCCAGCCAAGCACACGCCGCTGCCAAATGACAAATTGTCCACCATGCGTACTTGTTCTTGAAAACCCGTCCGGCGTTCGCAATGTGTGAACCACGGCGTTGCTCCCAACCCTGGCACATGTTTTTAAGATGACGTCTTTCAGACCACAAAACGGAGCAACGGAGAGAGGCTTTCGACCCCTCCAACCCCCCCCTTGCTGGTAACCCGCCTCCGTGAGCTTGTAGGCGTCAGAGCGCAGCGCCAGCAAATCCTCAAGTGAACCCCGCTACTTTTGGGGTGGTGCGCCACGTAAAAAATATATGGTATTTGCCAGTGCATGTTGGCTTGCATATATGGGTCCGAGTCAAGATCGGAAACCCACCTATTTGATGGCTTTCCCTTTCAACCAGCCTGAACAGGGTACCCTCCAACTACCCTCTTGCTCAAGCCGGCAAAGAGCATCTGCATGTGCACGTGGAGAGTGGGAACACAGTTGATTGATGAAGTGTCCAGTGAATCTTCCGAGACAACCTGGTTGTAGTTGTTGATTCTTAGTTGGGACTGCAAAACTGGTTCGCTTCTGGGATCTCTTGAAGAAACAAACACTCCCACAGTGAGGATTCGGTTTGATGACCCCTGGGACCTTGCGGACACGCCCTGGAGCGGCCTTGTCAACCACCGGATCGATATAGAGCTAGGGCCTCTTGTTGAATTTGGGGCACATCTGCAATGTTTTATTCCATCCTTTAGGCTTGATCATGCTTGGTCTTTGTTTTCGTAGGCATGTCATCTGGTTGCTGTTGCTTTTGCAAAATATGTCCAGCATACAAGCTTGCTAAATTGGAAAAGTCGCATCCTCCCCCCCCCCAAAAAAAAAAAAGAAAAAGAAAAAGAAGCAGAGTTGTGATAGCATCTTGAAGCGTTGGATTTGAGAACGTCTTTCACCAAGACCCTTCACTTTAAGAATCGCTGCCGAACAGGCAACCTTGCACACACAAGGCAAGCAAACTACACTATGGCTGGCGCGACTATGGCAACAACGCCTATGATGAGGATCCTTGTGTGGAAATGCGATGGACCTTTGCTTAGCCGCCCCCCCGGCCACAGTCACCCAAAATCAGAAGCAAGGAATGGCAGCCATAAAAGAAACGCCTTGCAAACAAGGCACGTTTGTCGTCTTCACCGGCGCAAAGCGCGAGCGAGGAATCACTAGCGCACTGGCACCTGCAAACGAGGGGTACCTGCTCATCATCTTGGGGCATGATCAATGGCATCAAGGGGCCTTCTGGTATTCACTTTGCTGTGGCTCGTCATGCTTGGGCTGCTTGTCTTTAAAGGAGTCTGCCCATTGCAACTGTGGAACCTGACAAACTAGTCAAAAGCAGAGTGCTGGACTGCTTGACATTCTTCAAACGGAACACAAGCGAACATCCCGTCTTGGATCGCTGGTTCCTCAAGCCAATGATCGCCCACATGCCATGCATTCGCACAAACAAGTGCTCATCCACAACCTGGCAATTCTCTTCGACATGCCTTGCCAGGGTTCCAGCTCAGCCACAAATACTGCGCTACTCGTCCATAAGAAAAGTGAAGGAAAGCGCCATGAATAATCGCAAGCAGCCAGAACTGTGCAATTGTTATTTTGCTCCTTTTTGCAAGGGGGCACCTCCGTCCAACCAGGTCTCGCTTGAGCAAACCCCCGAAGACCTTCCTGTTTCCCAGCTGCTTGTTCACACGGAACCTTTATGACCGGTCAGCTGGTTGGCCGAGCTCGCTCTCAGTTGGGCAAGTCTCCCGGAAAAATCCGGAGACAGCTTGCCCGCCACTCACCTTTAACGGCTTGAGAGGGTGTTTGGAATTTGGCCAGGGCCGGGGGAAAACATTGCACAGCCCTCCGAGAAGGTGTTTCTTTTCGCAAACCCAAGAAAAAACTTGGCTTCCTTTGGGCTTCTCTCCAGGGGCCAGGTGATGGCTTCAACCCACCTTTGTCGGAAGGGTAACGGTCGAAAGCGAGCCGCCTTGGAAGCACTGGATGGCTGCGCCCATGGCCGTCTCCAGCTGCAGGACCTTGGTGGAGGCCTTGTCCCGAGGGTCCACGGTCTTGGAGTTCCTGAAGGATGCCCCAGGGGAAACGACCGGGGAAATGTTTGAGGATGCCACTATCTGCAGTTGGTTTGTTGCGATTCTAAAACCTGAAGTGAGGGAATGCGAGGGAAGTGAGCTTGGTCTGCAGGGTTGGCTACCAAAAAAGCGTGTTTGAAGGCGAAGACTCATGTGGTGGAAGACCCTCATGCTTGGGGAAATGAATCCAAACATGCAAGTGCTAGCGGCCAAAGGCACCCTGTGTTCTTCAGCTTACGCCTTGGTTTCCCTGAGCAACTCAACACGTATCGGGACGAGATGAGCCTTTTTCTCGGGCAACCTAAAAGGATCAAAGCAGGAGTTTGTTAGGTTCTTGGAACGCATCGCGAAGAGGGCGGCCTGGGAAGTGGGCAAACTCCAAAAGGGTGCAAGAACCCTTCGCTGGCTCATGCATTCCAGACGGAACTCCTGATTCCTTGCGCCCGTCAGAGGCCAAGGGAAAGGCCAACCCTGACTGAGAAGGTTTCCTCAAGGCTCTGGCGGTTGCCAATGCGCTAGCTCTGAATCACGGTGCAGAAACCATGCCATGTACCCCCCCTGGAAACGAACATGTGAAACCCGAAGCTACATGGGCGCTTCTGAAAACCAACCTTCAAAAGAAGGTTCCTCTGCAAACTCTGGATTTGCTGAGGGCCTGCTTTAGAACTAGTAGCAAGCAGTGGCAAGCACATTGCCTGAAACTATACCCATTGCAGAACAACCATGCCGTGGTCAAGCGTGGCGCCATTGCATATGCAGCCATTCACTGCAGCGACGACCACAACGCAAACACGTGGAAAACAACTACGACAGAAACACACACACACAGACACACAAACACACAGACACACACAAACACACACACACACACACGACAGAAACACACACACAAACAAACAAACAATCAAACAATCAAACAATCAAACAATCAAACAATCAAGCAATCAGTCAATCAGTCAATCCAATCAATCCAATCAATCCAATCAATCCAATCAATTCAATCAATCCATTCAATCCAATCAATTCAATCAATCCAATCAATCCAATCAATCCAATCAATCCAATCAATCCAATCAATCCAATCAATCCAATCAATCCAATCAATCCAATCCAATCCAATCCAATCCAATCCAATCCAATCCAATCCAATCCAATCCAATCCAATCCATCAATCAGTCAATCAATCAATCAATCAATCAATCAATCAATCAATCAATCAAATCCAATGAATGACTGAATGAATGAATGAATGAATGAGTGAAAGAATGAAAGAATGAATGAATGAATGAATGAATGAATGAATGAATGAATGAATCCATAAATCAATCAATCAATCAATCAATCAATCAATCAATCAATCAATCAATCAATCAATCAATCAATCAACCGAGCAATAAAATACACACACACACACACACACACACACGCACGTTAATCGATGTTCAAGATTACAATCTTCTCTCAAATCGGCCAGGCGGCTTCATCACAGGAAGGGGCAAAGCCCCGTCGTTCCTCCGGAACTCGCGCTTCAGCGCAACCAGGTCCACCCACAGGTTGTTGGTGTTGAAAAACCTCGGCTCTCAATGCAAGGTCTCCTAAAACCAGCCGAACTCACAGCGTAGCTGCCTTTCGAGAGTGGCCAGCCCTTTGTCCGTTTGGCAATGTGTTGCCATGGGCATTGTTGACGCTGAAACGCGGGTGAGTTCATTCATGCAGCTTCTAAGTTAATCTCGAAGCCATCCGACTTTCCAGAAGCCACTTGAGAGGCAGGTGAACGAAAGCTAGCGAGCCCAACAAAACATGTGCGACTCAAAGCTTGCCAAGATGCCAAACAAGAGAGTAGCAACATTCAAAAGAAAACCCAGCCAGGTGCCAATGATGTAGATCCCTCGCCGCCCTCATCCAAGCCAGGAAAACAAGCACTGAGCATACAAGATCTTAATACGAACCATTGGCTTCCGAGGCGCTTATACTTGGCGACGTTCTGGAACTCCTTCTCGTCCTGCAGCACTGGTGAGCCAGCATGGTGCTACTCGAACTGTGCATCCCCTGCATGTGCGTGCGTCGGGGCGCCTGCCATTTTGTGTAGCTTAAGCGACAAAGTAACCTTGTCTGAAGCAAACGGAGACAGGGTGAAGTGCTGCAGCGGATTTTTCGGAGTTGTCCCCGTCCTCATCCGGACACTGGGCCGACTCGCGCAGCAGCAGGCCGCCGCTTGCCTGCGGCTAAGGATTCACCGGGGAGGCAAGGAGGGCTGGCAAAACGACACAACCCCACGAGGGCCCCGATCGTTTAATGTACCAACAAGATAGTTTGGCCTTTTCTCAAACTTAAGTGCCCCTTGGCATTTCCACAAGACAGTTTCCTGTACACACAACCTGCTGCGTGCAGTTGCGCTGCCCGTCGACTGCCCCTTCCCATACCTCCGGCCCCAGATCTAGGCCCCAAACCACCCCAAGCCCTGCGCCTTGTCCACCGCAAGGTGGCCGCCCTTCTTGTCCTTCGCGCGGCAACAGGCTCCCACTGATGAAAACACCCAACAGCCAAGTGTGGCAACGCAGCGAAGCCGGAACTTTTGGTAAACCAGGCCCATCAACTCAGTGACACGAAACAATTCAACACCAACAGAAACAGAACTCAAACAAAAGCTGCAGAAGCCTGGAGATTTCCCGGCCACTGTGGAAAAAGTCAAAAATATATAACCCCTTTTTTAAGGGGGCCCTTCATTTTCCTCAACCGGAGAAGGCAAACGCTGCAACCCAGCAAGCCAAATCACCTCTCCCCTCAGAGAAGGATTCCTGATCATTGGTTGCTCCATATTTGTCAGGCGGCACTTCTCAACCCCCATGTTTCACAGCCAAACGTAGGCAAACAAAACGTGCGGCCCCCCTAAGGCCACATCCAACTGCCTCTTACTACAGCCGTGGTGCAGCATCCGTCCGCTCGGCCACCTCCATCATGAAGGGCGCGCCCGAGTGCCTAGCATTGAAGGCAAAAACAAAACAAGGCAGCTGCAATGCATTCGCAACAGGGCCCGATGGAAAAACTGCAAAGCCGGCTCAGGCGCATAGCCTTTGAGTTTGCAGTTGGCCTGTGTCACAGGCCGAAGCATACCGCCTGCAAGCCCACTTTTGGCACAAGGCCAAGAAGTCCGCAGGACCACCCGCGTGGAGTTACTTGTTGAGGCGCTCAAAATGTGGGTGCTTCGCACTGAGGCAGGCGCACAAAGTGAGTAAGGATCTTGAGGTCCATGGTTGCGCCCAAGTTGTCTGAGTTGGACACAAACATGTATCGGTAGCCTCGGCGACTCGGCCAAGCACAGGGACAAAATGCTACGCGACCATTAGATACCATGGATCGCAATGTGCACATCACGCCGCGGATGCTTTACCTTCAATAAATGCCCACAGAAACATATGGTTACATTTACATCGCGGCAGGTCCGAAAGCGCCCTTCTCCGACCCGCCTGCGTGCACATGACACAACAAAGAACAATACAGCAAAATGCAAGCGCAAGTTGCTTTACGAATGTGACCCTCTTCATTGCACACATGTTTGTGAAGCGGGTGCGCGACTGCAGTGCGCGGCGATACACGCTTGAAGCTGTGCGGATCGTACTTACAAAACCCGCTGGAAGCGACAAAGCTCCCCCAACACCAGCCGGTAATGTTGGCTTCTTGCCGAAAAGCCTTTCTTCAGAAGCTTCTCGAGGGTGCCGCTCCTCGAGGCATGCGTAAATTCACGGCCAAGGCCGATGGGATGGCACAGGCAGGTGGCCATGTCCACTTTTGGCATGGGTCAAACTCAATCATCCCACACCGGCCTTGGAACTACCCACATTTGGCTGTGCAAGTGCCCCCAAGGCCACCGTACTATCCCATCCCCTTCCCCCGTCGCTCCCGAGCATAGCTGGATAAAGGTCTCCGTGCCCCGGGGGGCACCACTCGTGCGCCGTTTCCGCCGACCAGTCCGCAGGGCTCATGTCGCTCGCTGTAACCTGCGGCAAATGAGGAAGGACCTGGGCTATCCCGGCTGCAAGGGCAGCAACATGCCAAAATGGTCCGAACGCGTCTTAAACCAAACGACAGTTGCGCAGCGGCCAGGGGTAGATGGAGTGTTCAAACTTTTGAGTTGCAGCATGTAGTCAATGTAGTGGTATGTGGTGGTCACAAATGTGGGTCCCAGTGCGTACATGTGTCTACTCTACTTCTGCGGCCTCCCCAAAGAAAGGGCAGGAGCTCAATCTTACAATCTGAATCGTTAGGTCCTTGTCCTAATAGGTGTCCCCCTCTTGCCAGGCACTAAAAAACTTTCTCCACAACAGGAATTGGCTTGGAGCGCTGCTCGGCTCTTGGAGATTAGCCAGGCGAGTGGAGTAATTACCCCTTCACCACTCGGGTGGGGCAGGATATGGCAAGACTAAAGTCCGGAAACAACATGCAGCTTGCCCGGCAAACAGGATAGGTTGTTCAGACGGTGAGGAGCGCCCTTCTCGTCAGCCAAAAGCAACTACGATCTGGATACCATTTTGAAGGGGCGCCTGATTCGGTCACTCGCAATAGTGACAAATACACGGCTCACCGAACGTTCCGTTTGCAAAGGAGATGCAGCAGCTTGAACAATTGAGTATGTCCTGGCGTCCACGGGCATCAATGAGTGATATCATATATATATATATATATATTCAGGGTTGTGCCCAAAGCGTTTTCAGACACTAGTGCCCAGTGGTAAGAATCTGCCAGCCCTTCTCGCTCCATGCCCCCTTTGCTTTGAAGGGATCGTTGTTTTCAGACCATGGCCCAACACATAGACAATATTGAGGAGTGATGTTCAACAAGCTGGTCCAGGACTCCCCTCAACAAGCTGGTCCAGGGAACTGCCCCAGGTTTGTCTCCAATCGAGGGCCAAAATGCATGCCGGCACCTTGGGAGCCTTGTTCTGCACAAACCTCGGGCCACGAATCCAGCCTACCCTCGACAGCTCCATGGAAATCTGAAGTCAGGCGAGGGTAGCGTCACCACAACGCAGAAAAAAAGAAGGTCAATGCATTGGGCCCATTCTCCCAGGCACCGTCTCCGAGGAGTTTACAGCCTCCAACTCTGTTCGGACTGAGGCCACTCTTTGAGTTGGAGAAAAAGCACTTGCCAACAAATTGGCCGAATGACCATCTCGTTCATGCGCCTTTGGAATAGGTTGGGGCGGGTCACGCACAACTCGATACTGAAACATGTAAGGGTCAACGCAACTTGTCTTGCGTTCTCGCTTGCTTCTCCTCTCAGCCAGGCTTGCCGAGTTCGGAATTTTACATGTTTTCGGCGTCCAAGGAAAAGCTGCTGGACTGCCTGGTGCTGGCAGCCTCTGGTAGCCACTGGCATCGGCCAGCAGCGCAAACGGATGTAACACCCAGGGCCAATGGGATCGTGGGGACGACCACCTCTTTGAGCATGCTTATCACAAAGCAAAAACTGGCAGTGATGCATAATGTCCTTATGTGTGTTTTGCGCCTATTGCCCTGGACAGCTTGAGTGTCTTCTGCCCTTCAACCCAAACATGAAACATTGGGATTGTAAAAAAAACATGATTTCCAGGACCCCCGGTCAGGTTTCATGCGGGTAGACTGCCCGTTTGCCAGTTCGGGCTGCCCGGCTCCAGGTCAGAGCCAGTACCCAGATCCGAATACTTGGAAAGTGCTTCCAAGGTGTCCTGACCACAAGGCAAAGGCTCTAAGCGAGGCTCCGGGCCAACAAAAATTGTTGTTGAGATTGGGGGCAAACTGGAGTACAAACATATGCAGCTGGAGTGGGTCCAGACAATTCCAGACAATCTGGCTTCCTATTTAAGGTGCTCATTGGAAGCATGGGTTACTTGGCCCCCCAGATTTGGGCTCTAGGGGGTGCAGTGCGCGTCGTCTGCATCAGCATCAGCATCAGCATCAGCATCATCATCATCATCATCATCATCATCATCAGCATCAGCATCAGCATCAGCATCATCATCATGATCATGAGTCGACCTTTTCTGCAACTTGAATGTGTGGGAGGAGTTCACCCAAAATTTGTAGAGGGCTTGGGGAGAGTCACAAAGGACTGGAGTAATGACGAAAGGCCTCTTCTAGGTAACAAGGGCATGTTAGCGCCAATGTCGGATGGTTGAATCCTTACCACTTGAACTGTGTTGTTGGAACAACTCCCCTGTTTTCAGAAAGGGGCAGAACAACACCGTACACCGTCGAGTGGAATCTCCACTTTATCCTCTCTGCCCCACTTGGAGACATGCTCCTTGGACGTGGAGAAGGAGTTCATTAGCATGAACTTGAGGTCCTGGGTGCGTGATCATTCCTCTCTCTGCGCTCAGCACCCTCCACCCCTCACAGGAAACATGTGGGGGCCCCTTCATAGATTCTGCTCACTAAACATATTCGTGAGGAAGGGCCCTTTGCATTGGGGAATCGACCGCCCCCCTCGAGTAGGAAGTAGGACTTGCGATTGAATCTCTTGCCGAAGCTGCCGTGTTGAAATCTTTCTTCATGGACGCCACTTGCTGCGCAATCCTCAGCCGGGCTGCAAAAACAGCAGCATCCCGTTTGTGCCGTTGCTCACTGACAGAAACCACAAGCTCGTTCTGAGCGTCCTGAAACCCTCCAAGTCCTGTTGGCGCCCCAGCAAAAGGCCTCTCCCTTGCCCCCGTGTTCGGGTTCGCTCCACGCTGCGCACCGCCAAAGGGCCTCGGATCCGAGGCGCAAATCCAGGAAAGTGTTGCCCTCCGTGACCGTCAGCAGAGATTTCGCCCTGTCCAAGCCCATGCCTCAGGAGCCGGCTGTGATAGGGATCCTTACGTGTTCCCTTGAGCACTCCATAAACAATAAGCCGACTTTAGTTGTGGAGGACAAAAGGTGATGCTTAAACACCGCCAAAAGGGGGGGAAACACGGGAAATACCGACTGATCCAACTCGATGGTTCACCGGAAAAGAACACTCCAAACGCCACTGAAGGATTTCCTGATAGCTTGTGGTTGATGGCCAGCTATCATTATATCGCCTAGCTGTCCACGAAGCCGGCAACATGTGACCTGAGCAAAATTTGTGCTTGAGCACATGTGGAACAATACATCCATGCCTTATTAGTCTTGCTTGCGCGCCTGGGCCTATTCTAGATAACGCATGTGCAGATGAAACTGATTGCAGGCGCCCAGGCACCAGTGCCTAGCCCGCCGTTCAATTTGAGGATGAGGGTCTTCTTCAACAGCCGAGGGTCCTGAAGCACGCAGGTGCTAGAGGCATGTGCTTGAGCGAGGGGCGAAAATGCTCTGCAAAGGGGGGACTGCACAGAATGATTTCAAAGAACACCAAGCGCTTCAGCCGATGTTCAAGCAAAGTTGGCTCGCATAAGGCAGAAACAAGCTATGGCACTCAAACTGCGGGCAAGCAGCTGGCTTCTCTGTGAGCTTCTCATACCTCGGGTCTGAACCGTCTGGCAATGAAGCTGACTCGCCAAAACGCCAGCTAGCCTTCAAGACAAAGGGGGGCAAGTAAGACAACGTCTCACCAGGCAGCGGCTGACCAACACAAAGAAGCCCACTAAGTGTCCACCAAAAAGGACAAAATGGTGTGCGCCGTGACAAGCAAATGCGCTTGCGAAGGGAAAGGCTACGCCTGCCGATTTGCACCCAGAAAGCTGCTCTTTGTAAGCTTTCATTGCACAAAAGAAATGCTCGCACACTCAATTGACCGTCACGCATTTGGTAGTTTAAAAGTCCTTCGTGCAGGCCAGCAGCTCAGGCAGCTTGTCCACAGGGTCAAGCTTGCTCTCTGGAATCATGACCTGCAAATGGGAAGGAACATGGACTTGAATACAGACATGCGTTGGAAAGCGCAACGGCCCTTTGCTGCACTCAATGCCCTACGCTAATTATTGTCTCTCCAGAAGGGCTCATTTTCCTAGATGGCTCAGTATCACAGAGGCCACATCCCTGGTTCCCCCCGTATCCCTGCTAGTTGGTCTCCCTGATTGGTGTGCAGGCACTTGGGTCATGCCAACCGGCAAGAGTACCACCATGCCCTGAGCCCCCGCCTAAAGCTTCAACACACGAACAGGCTTTCAACCCACGAACTTGGCCAGAACCTTACCGCCTTGCACGAGTCTCAATGAAAATGCAAGCTTCAGGCGTAGCACCCTTCAGAGATGGACATTCTCCTACAAAATCGCTTCGTATGTCGCAGGCACGCGCGATTGGGCTCCAGGCGTCGGCGCCGGAGACGAGGACACCTCGCGATCTCGCGGCTTCCACAGAAAATCTGAGTTTTCAACGGGTCAAGCGAGGATTTGACCAAAACAAGAACATTTGAATCTGAACCTCGGCGAGGATCCGAGTCTGAACATTTGACCAAGCGACCTCCGGAAAGTTGCAAGGATTCACCCTAGGAGAAAACAGCATGATTACCCACGCTTGCCTTTGCAAAGGGCCGTTCGCCCACGTGTTCTGCAAACCTGGCCATTCGTTCATTCACACCACGCTCCTTATCAAGCAGTCCAAAATCCCTGAGCTTACTCATGGATTGTCACCCTTGCTCCATTTCCCCCACTAAACTATCTCCAAGCTGAAGAACTCATAGCGAGCTGAGCTGCCATAGTTGTACTTGAAGGCAGCGATGGCGGTCTCATTGCAGCCTTCCTGGCGCAAACCCATTTCTGGCCGTGCAAACCACGCACCACAAGTCCATTTGCACAACCAGCTGGCAATAGCGAAAGAAAAACGTAAAGCTCAACCAACGCATGCAACAAACACCTCGAATTAGGGACCCGGATCATGCCCTGCACGCTTGCTCAGGAAAGGCACCCCTAGTACCGCGGCATTGGGCGCCTGTCCTTTTTCATCTTTTCCTCGAATTTGGGCCACATATCCACCATCTTGGACGGGCCAACCTGAGGCACAAGCGCACAAACACACGCACACGCGCACGCGCATTGTTTGCTGTTGTGTGCGTGGTTCTCTCTCTCTCTCTCTCTCTCTCTCTCTCCGTCTCTCTCTCGCCATGACTCTTGGTGTTTGTGTGTTTGCGTGTCTCTGCAAAAACGCACTCACCCACGCACTCCCACGCCCACACACGGGCACAAACAGCTAGAGACACGCACAAAGCACACACACACAAACACAAACACAAACACAAACACAAACACAAACACAAACACACAGACACACAGACACACAGACACACAGACACACAGACACACAGACACACAGACACACAGACACACAGACACACAGACACACAGACACACAGACACACAGACACACAGACACACAGACACACAGAAACACAGAAACACAGAAACACAGAAACACAGAAACACAGAAACACAGAAACACAGAAACACAGAAACACAGAAACACAGAAACACAGAAACACAGAAACACACACCCACACACCCACACACCCACACACCCAGACACCCACACACCCACACACCCACACACCAACACCAGCACCAGCACCAGCACCAACACCAACACCAACACCAACACCAACACCAACACCAACACCAACACCAACACACACACCAACACCAACACCAACACCCACACCCACACCCACACCAACACAAACACCAACACCAACACCAACACCAACACCAACACCAACACCAACACCAACACCAACACCAACACCAACACACACACACACACGCACACACAAACACCAACACACACACACACACAAACAAACAAACAAACAAACAAACAAACAAACAAACAAACAAAACAAAAAACAAACAAACACAAACAAACAAACAAACAAACAAACAAACAAACAATCAAACACACAAACAAACAAACAAACAAACAAACAAACAAACACACACACACACACACCAAACCAATTTTCAATCGCAAAATGGTGGTCAAGAATAGAAACCCTGCATAGGCATGCACCCTCCTGGATGCAACAATCACCCGGACAAAAGCCGAAAAGGCCGCTTCCGCTTTTAGGCAAGGCTCCCACAAGCACACACTGCGTCCTAAAGCTTGCTGCGCCAGGCTCCAATGCAATGAGGCAGTTGCGCGCTATTTGAGAAGGTGCTGACAGCTGGACAAACCTAGAGGTGAACAAAGTCTGGCTATCGACCATACAGTGTCTGCTCTTGAAGCTCTTGGATCATCGAAGGAAATGGCGCTACCGCTTCTCCGCTCCTAAGGAATTTGCTGGGGGCATCGATAAGTAACCTCAGGTCAAATCCAATGATCAATAGTTGCTGAGCAGCAAGCGCTTTGGTGCCTTGCACACTATGATGCTTGCAGCCAAAAGCTTGATCCACCTGTTAAGCATTGTGTTCCTACTATTGAATCACCTAATGATCTGAAAATGTGTTGGTTCAACTTGACCCGTTCCCATCTGCATGTGTGAATCAGCGGTGGCCACCTCTGCCTTCAAGATGCCTCTGTTTGGAGTATGCTGCACATCTTCCCGTAGCTGGCAAACTTTATTCACCCTAGCCCGCCAAAACGTGACAGCTCCCAGAGCACATCCTTGCAATGACAGCTGCTTGCAAAATTGTGCAAATGTCCACAGAAAGAACCTATCTTGGAACCGTACCATTGGTTTTTCCACAGGAGCCCAGACCCAAAACAAGCTGAAATAGGTGTTGCGGTCGAGTGCGTAGAAATGGATGTTAAAATCAAGAATGCTGTCTACGGGTATGTGGCTTGAAGCGCAGGTAGCAACATCCAGAATGTTGACCATGAATCGAGGGCGTCCCATTTTAGATGGAACCCTTCACTTTCAGTTCAGCTGATTTGGGAGAAACATGTACTATGAAGCTGCCTGTCTGCTCAATCCCAGGTCCTTCTTTTCAAGACCCAAGCCCAGACGCGGTGGAGACGATGTCCATGAAGGTGGGCTTCAGAGAGGCGCCGCCCACCAAGAACCCGTCGATGTTGGGCTTGGTGATGAGCTCCTGGCTCGAGGCCTAATGGATCTACGTGGGGCTCGACCTGGACTCAAGCGCCTGGACCTCAAACATGGGATGGCCCAAGGTTGTTGGCGCTCCATTTGTCTTTGGCAGCCAGCCACTGAAGATGAACAGAATCGAACAGCTAAACAAAGCTAAGAAAACCGACGGACGAACATCTGCCAAGAACAGTGAAGTCGTGACGTGAGATGAATTATGGCGATGTCTTTTTTACAGGGTAGTTAGAGGCTTCAAGGTTCAGGTATCCTCTTTCCAATGGAAGTGGACAGGGGGCAGGCGGGTTTTGGGCTGCAGCTGCACGGCCCGTCCGCACAGTTGTCAGGCGTCACACTCCCACCGTACTGGATCTGCAACTGGCACGGGTTGCAAAAGAGAAAGGCACGCCCTCATCAACTGTCAATGAAAATGTCCGAGCCCAGCTGACAAGTGGGTTCTGTATCCTGGTTTGAGCGCTGGACGCGTGCAACAGCACGCCTGACTTGCTCAAATACAGTGGTTCCAGGCAGTATATTCCTTGGCTTGGCAGTTGGAGAAACAAATGAAGCGCCCTTCTATGACCTTCTACACATGCAACACCAAACCCCACATGCAGGAAACGCCCACCAACATGGTCATGGCCGCCGCAAAAGCACGCGTTTTTGTTCAGTGCCGCCCTTCCTGGGCAAGAGACACAAGGGCTTGGTCTTGACAGCATCATCAAGAATGTGCCACGAACGGCTCAGGTCATAATTTACCTTGAACCTCCCTCGCAGACACCGTCCAAATCCGAAAGCTTCCATCGCGGAACAACAAGCATCCGTGCTCCCTAATGCGGGAGGCCCGGTCGTCTTGAAAGGTTTGCTGCAGCCTGAGTCCTGGGTTGCCAAGCTAATTTTCACCGAAAGGCACAGCACAAAACATCCCACATGAACCCGATAGCTCATCAGTCATCCACGGGACAACAGGCACGGCAATGGCAGTCAGCCAGGAAGAGGTCCCTGGACCAACGAGCAAAGCACCTCGAAAAAGAACCTGGTGCCACTTAGCAGGATGTCGCAAGGACTGCTCATCAAAACTGTCCTCTCTGATTAGATTAGATCAATTAGATCCATGTGCGAAATTATACACGTTGGCCAGCTACTACCGTATCCATGAATGGATGAAGTTGCTTGCAGGTTCGCCCTCCTTAAAAGGTTCACATCCACAGGCCGAAAACCCTCACCAGATCACCAGAATCGACACCCTGCAAGCGAGTTGCACCTGAAGGTTCCCTACGACTCACGCTCCCTATTCAAGCCCCAGGACCTACCGCCGGGGAAGAATCAAGAGCTGGCCCTGCAGATCTGTGACAGGTACACTGGTGGAACACCCGTCACAGAAAACGGGTTTGCTCCCAAAACAATGCCATATCCGTGGTTGTTTACTGGATTCTGGTTTCTGAGGTGTGGCTTTGGGGCAATCATCGCGACAGCGAATCTGCTATGTTTCCATTGCAAGGCGATACATAAATGTTATAAGGGCTCGCAAATCCGAAGCTGCACGAACCCCACAACATGTTCCCGATATGAACATGTGGAACATGCCGAGCATTTGCACACACATGCGCACTACTAGTATCTACACTCCATGGGCCGAATCAAATCTGCGCATTGTGTGGCCGTGCAGTCGCCGTATGTCGCCGTGACCCTAGGCGGCAGCCCGTTTGGGCTCAGCTTTCGCTGCCGATTTGGGCTTCGAGGTTGCCCGCAGGAAGGTCTTCGCTGGGCTAGGGCCCGGGGTTGCCCTCAGGAAGCCCGGCCTGCGCTCGTATCAGCACTTCCGTAACATGACATTTGGAATAGGTCCTTTTGTTCAGGAATCTTCAAGGACCACTGGTGACATACTCGCATCACACATAAGGCATGCGATAACCAACTCAAGGGCAACACAAAGCAACCACCACCAGAGCAAGAGGACATACATTGCAACATGCACATTCTCAAAACACATCCCTTGCTCCTGACCTGTGGAGGGCTACTCGGTTGACTTGCATGCCCGTTCGACACACACACACATGCATGCCAGTGTTTGGCATTCTGGCTCATAAGAAATGCTCGATATAGCCTTGAGGGCATTTTTATAACATATGCCTTGTGCGCTTACATTGCGGATGTTGGCAAAACATTCTTCATATCCGCCAGCGTTGCAGCACTTAGGGAGCAAGTGCAACTTGCTGATGGTTCGTTTCCCGCCTCGTTGTCCCGTCAGCCGGCCTTGGCTGAATCGAGACATCTTGCGTTTGGCAGTCAAGGCGCAGCCGGCTCCAGTGGTCTTGATAGTGTTGTTGTAGGGCGTCTCCGTAGTAAAGCAAGTTAATGTACAACAAGTCAAAATATATGTGCCCATCGTTTTCATGGATTCGTATTCACGAACGGTATTTACAACATCTGCCCTTAACCCAGTGTCGTGCGTGAAGCAGGCCTCTGATACCGCCAGCGCCAAACAGCCCTCTGAGATCAGCGGGAAGCTTCAGCATGCAACGACTGTGGCGCGCATGTAAGCGGTAACAGACGCACTGTGCAAGCCAACAAACGCCAACAAACAAAGCAAACTAAAACAACACTTAACTCCACTTCACCAATCTTCAAACAAACGAAACAAACAACCTAAAGAACAAACGAGCAAAACAACAAAAACCCTCAAGGCCCCCTGCGGTGAAGGGCTTCGGCTCTTCGGCGGGGACCGGGACCTCATTCCGCAGATTTCGGGTGGCCAGGGGTTCAAGTATCTACTTAGTTGCCAGGATCTGAAAAGAAAAGGCGAACCTTTTGGGACCTTTGCCGTCCCCCCTCCAAAAAAAAACACGGACCAATGCCAACCAATAGGCTAAAAGGTCAGTTTGGAACAACTGAGCCTAAGGAGGTGCTTACACTCCGTTGCACCCGAAGTCATCAAAGGGTACTTGGACCCCCTGCGAGCATGGGAGTAACCAAGAAACCGACACACCAAACGCCGCAATTACACACTACGCACCTGATTCAACGTAGACTGTGCTTGTGCGTGTGTGGAAGCATGCCCCTCCCTGTAGCAATGGGAATCCTTTATAAGCTGACGAATTCCCTTGTTTGAAAGCAAGCGCAGCCTGCAATCCCTTCCATTATCACCTGCACTATGTTAATACGGCAGTATCACGGCTCATTTCAGCCTGCAATTACGAAATCCCAAAGCACAGGACCTTCACCATAGATTAACGCTCTTTAACGCCAGGTGAGATCCCCAATCAGTGCAATTGATCATCCATCAAGTGAATATGGGTAGTCCTGGATATGCCACAAAACTTGCCAAGCGGCGCCGCAGCTCGGCTTGGCTTCGCCTCTTCCGGGTCCTTCTTACGCGTGGGCGAGGCTTTGGGCGAGGACTTGGGCGAGGCCTTGGGCGATGCCTTCGGCGCGGTCGGCTTTGGCATCGAGCCCCAGGACAGCCTGCGACAGGCGGCAGCCCAGTTGCTCAAGAATGAAAAAAAACAACAACTTGGGAAGCTAAGGTTGGAAATTGATGCCAAGACTGGTAATCAGGGTATTTATGCCCTGAGCATTCAAATGACGATATAGCTTGGTGGGAATGCATTCCACTGGCGAGACATTCGACATTCGTCAAGCACGGCTGGCAGAAACAAGCATAGAAAGGGTCGCTTCATGAGCCGTTTTTGAAAACCACAAATCTGTCACTGGCAGGTTGTTCGTAATATCAATTAGCCTACCAGCGGTTCAAGCATTGCTGGACGCAGGAACAGCTGTCAGGGGTAATTAGTGTAGGCTATTAGAGCACCCCCTGCCTCCTCTGCCTGCCAAGCAAGGCCGGCGATTGTTGTCTTTGTGCTTTTGGCGGTGGCTGGAGCGCAGCTTGTGGCTTCTCTTGTGGCTCAGTCATGGCGACCTCTGGCTGAGCGCCGTCTGCATCATCGGGGCAGGGAAGTGGGGCCTCCAAGTCCTCGGGTGCCGCCAGCTCTGCAGCCTCCATTGCATCCACTTGGCCGGGCAGCGCACCCTCCGGCTCCGCGTGGTTGACCCATAGCGAATCTGAGGTCATCCCGGGCTCGCCTTGCGTCAGGACCGTGGAGCCCCCGGCTGAATGCACCCGCACAACGCGAACGGGCACGTCCGCTGGCGTCTCCACCACTGGCTCCGGTGGTTCACGGGCTTCCTCCCAGCCGGCAATGGTCACAGTGGAGGGGTCGTTCAGCTCCCCTGCTGCAGACTCCCCCACAACTCGCGACAAGGCGGACTTGACCTCGCAAAAGAGCTCTCCCTCCTCTGGATGGTCAACGTTCATACTCCTGCCCTCTACGCATAGGTTGTCGCTCGGATGCTTGAACTCAGACAGAGTTTGGTCGCAATTCACAGCCTCCAATGTACCGCTGGCCTGTGGCGTCATAACTGCCTCCTCTTGCACTGCCGCTTCTTGCACTGCGGCCTGCAATGCGCCACTGGTCTGCGCGGTCATCATCATGGCTGCCTCTTGCAGCGCGGCCTGAGAAAAGCCGCTGGACTGTGGGGTCATCATAGCCGTGTCCTCCACCGCCGCCTGCAGTGTGCCGCTGGTGTGTGGGGTTGTCATGTGGCTGTTCGTTTGAGTTGTCTCATGCACGTCGTCCGCCAGGGGCGCCTCCTGTTGCTGGGACACCTCTGCTTCTTCAGGCTCCGGCCTTGAGCCTGCACCTGGGGACGATGGCTGAGAAAGCAGCTCAACGGCCTGTTGTATGGAAGGGGCTGCCTTACCAAGGTTGGGTGCAAGGATGTTGATCGCCTGTCGGACACCCGCCGCCGCAACTTTAGCTGTGGGGTCTGTGGCCTGCGCCTTCTGACGGTGCCCTTTCGATGCTTGTCCCTTGGCCGCTTCTGCCTTGGGTGCTTCCTTCTTGGGCGCCGCAGCCTTGGGGGCCTCAACCTTGGGGGCCTCAACCTTGGGGGCCTCAACCTTGGGGACCTCAACCTTGGGCCCTTCCACCTGGGACTTCGGCTGCTCTTGAGCTGGTGGTTCCTGAGCTGGGTCCTGAACTGGGTCCTGAGCTGGGTCCTGAGCTGGGCCTTGAGCTGGGCCTGGAGCTGGGCCCTGAGCTGGGTCCTTAGCTGGCTGCGTCTCGAGCGCCTCCGGAGCCTCTGGCTTCATCTGGATGTGTGGGGCATGCTCCGCCGAGATGCGGCGGATCATCTTGGCCAGCTCCGAGGCTTCCTTCTCCTGGGCTGCTCCGAAGTTCACGAACTACAGTCTGTATTGATCCCTTCCATGTGCAATGTGCTGTACTGGACAAATTCTATGACAATGTACGACTGTGATAATTGTTCATTATGTGCTGCAACAAATGAATAGAATATACATATATACACATAGCATA